AGCACACTGAGGGGGTCACTGTATGTTGTGTGTGTGCGTGTGTGCCTATGTGTGCTTTAACCACTAAGGCTACAGGCAAGGACTCAGCCACCCAAGAACACTAACGACTGCTGTAACCTGGGCTGCCTGGCAACGCAGGTCTCTCCTAGACCTCTGGCACACCTTGGCCTTCCTCGCTCACTCCCCTCCCCACCTGAGGCCTGAGACCCACACGTCCACCTGCAGCCCTGAAGCAGCTTCCAGTGAGAGCGCCCAGTGCCCAGAGCTCTCTAGCTCTCCAGACTTCAGAACGCGTCACACATCAGCGGGCTTTCAGAGTCAACGCAGCCCCACCCCTTCTGAGGAACACGTGCAGCACTGTGAAAGGGGACGGGTTCCGCACGGACGCTACTTACTTACAAGGAAGGCATTTACTTTCACTGACTGGGTATTTCTGCACAGCTAACCTAGTAAAAACTCACTGTGTAAACTCTCTGACAACCAAAATGAAGGATTTCTTTACTCAAAAAGTCCAGAGGCCAGCACTGGCATGGCAGGCTACGCCTCTGCCTCTGACGCCAGCATCCCACATGGGCGCTGGTTCCAGCAGCTTCTCTTCTGGTCTAGTTCCCTGCTCATGTGCCTGGGAGAGCATCGGGGTGCCCCAAGAGCTTGGGCCCCTGCCACTCATGTGGGAGACCTGGAGGAAGCTCTGGGCTTCAGATTTCAGCCATTTGGAGAGTGAACCAGTGGGTAGAAGATTCTCTCTTTCTCTCACTCTCTCTCTAGAACTCTGCCTTTTTTTTTTTTTTTTTTGACAGGCAGAGTGGACAGTGAGAGAGAGAGAGAGAGACAGAGAGAAAGGTCTTCCTTTTACCGTTGGTTCGCCCTCCAATGGCTGCCGCGGCTGGCACGCTGCGCTGATCCGAAGGCAGGAGCCAGGTGCTTCGAGGTCTCCCATGGGGTGCAGGGCCCAAGGACCTGGGCCATCCTCCACTGCACTCCCGGGCCACAGCAGAGAGCTGGCCTGGAAGAGGGGCAACCGGGACAGAATCCGGCACCCCGACTAGGACTAGAACTCAGTGTGCCGGTGCCGTAGGCGGAGGATTAGCCTATTGAGCCGCGGTGCTGACCATAACTCTGCCTTTAAAATAAATAAAAATCTTTTAAAAAAAATAAAATAAACAAAATCCCCTCCCCCTGCCCTGGGACGTAGTTAACACAGCAGGAGGCCTAACCTGTCTGGGGCCACTCTTAAAAAGGAATTCATAAAACGGCTGACATTCAGCTCGTCCTGTGTGTTCTCCTCTGTACTACCTTGCACTCAAAAACTGGCTGAGAGCTGGGCACGTAACCGTGCGTGGGCCACTTCTGTCCAACTGCACACACGCACAGCCGCTCCCTCTGCACCTTCGTCAGGAATCTGTGTGTTTCGGATTCTCTCACAGGCTCGGGGAAGAACTGCCGGGAGGGACTCTGGGAGTGGTGGGCTCCGGCCAGGTCTGGGCCACCACTTCTTTTCCAGAAGAGAAGCCGACACCCAGCAAATGACCAGCCTAACTTTCACCTCACAGAGCTACAAGAACAAATGCCAAAACACGGGCTCACGGCCACGGGCGAGCAAAGCCGAAGCCCGCTGAAGTCAGGGTGCTCGACCAACAACGCTGGAACATGGCACAGGTGCGTTTCCTCCCACGCCAGCCTTGCTTTGAAAAACCGGTGACACCGCAGGTCACGCGGGGTTCGAGCTGAACGAAGGGAGATCTACAGCAGCAGTAAAACGGATTCTCCTCTCCTTGTAGAAAGCATAGTGCTGACGTGCAGGGCGAAGTCCATGGCGAACAGGCACAGGTCTGTGCGACGACTCAGCCGAGTGACTCCAGCGTGGATCTCCTTGTTTTAATGAAGGAGGAGGTGCCGTCCCCTCAGGGAGCTAGGCGGGGGCTGCCGGCTGCTGGTCTCCCCGTGCTGGTGAGCTGACATTGGTTTTCTGCCCCCGTGGAAGAGACGTCACTCAGATGCGTGCCATTTAACTTCATTTTACACAGCTGCTGAATGCGTCTTGGCAAGGCAGGGCCACACCCGCTCTGAGGTCTAAATAGGACCCTGAGCTGGTGGAGGGCAGCGCCTGGGGATTAGTGCCGACAACTGCTTTGTCCCCTGCGGCCATCTTCTCACTGACCTTGAAGGGACCGCAGCAAAGCGGAAGCCAAGCTCTCCGGAGTAAGCGTGCTGTCCGCTCTCTGCACGCGTGAGCTCACCGAGGCCTGTGGTTCTAGGCTTCTGCACTGGTCGCTCCAGGTGGAGAACCCTCAGGCACGGGATCCTAGTTTGCTTGTGCTATGTAAGTGTGCACTGAAAATGCAGCTATGAAGACGCTCCCTGGGCCGGGCCTGCCTAACCAGTACCGAGTAACAGGTAACCAGCCGTCCGTCTGTTCTCCGCCCTAGGTAAGGATGAGGCCCGTTTCCACCGGAGCTACAGGACCATCTCATCACAAACACATGCGAAACAACATGAATATCTTTGTTTGCTGAGTCACTCAACAGGGACACGCTTGAGGGGCACTCATTAACCGAGAACGGTGCAGAGCCTGGCGTTATGGTGACGCGGCGGGAAAGGAGACACAGGCTTTTGCTGCTGTATGGAACCCCTGTGCTGAATCTGGTGGTAATAGAGCAACGCCATGTTTGGAAAGGCACCTCTGTGTTGGGTTCCTTTGCTGATCTCATGGGGAGAAGGAGGAACGGAGCTGTGTGACTTCGCCCATGGCTCGGTGTTGCTGTCACACACCCCTCCTAGGTGCCTCTGTTTGCCGGTGTCGGAGTCCTGGCCCAGCAGGGGCTGCGCTCTGAACTTGGGGGTGAGGATAGGGAGGGGTGGCAGCAGCCCACTGTGGTGGCCGCAATGAGTCACACAGCGCTAACGACACAGGCTCCGGGACAGACGACAAGCACGCTGCAGGAAATGAGGCCGGAGCAGGGAGCCGCTGCTCTCACACTCCCCGATTGGGTGCGAGGGAAGTGGCCATGCCAGAAGCCATGCATGGACAGAACCTGGGGGGTGGCATGCAGGGGTGCAGCCAGGTGCCACTCAGACAGAACAGAACCGATGCAGGTGGGCAGAAGGCAGCCCCCCGGGAGACAGGCTTTCCTTCGGGTTGGTATGGGCGCTCCTCTGGCGGCCAGATAGGTTGGTTAACGGCTTAAGAGCAAAGGCCGGGGGTATGCTGCCACCTTCCTGTCCGGGCAGGCTGCTGTGGCAGGAGAGCTCGAGGGCTGCCACAGGTGGGGTGCTGGGGGAAAACACGGGGCGCCCGCCACCCCAGACTGGCTGGGAGAAGCAGGAGACCTAACGCATGGTGGCCTAAGGTAGAATGGGAGATTCGTCCCGCAGCACAGGCCGATGCTTGTGCACGCACAGGTCTGGCCTTACAGGTAGGGGGTGGGGTTGGGGGAGGGGGAGGACAAACTCTCTGTGTGGTTTGGCTGCCTGCCTGTAGGGCAACTGTGTAAGATTCCTTAAAAAAAAAAAAAAAAATGAGGGGGACAGAGCCAAGGAGAGAGAGAGGATCTGGGGTCTGGTCTACCACGTTCCAGTCTGAAAACACAGCCGTGACTTTGGTACAAGCAAAAACTAAACACACAGCCGCCCGTTTAAGCTGCTGGAGAGCTGAACTGGGCAGTGTGAAGACAAAGCTTTCAGGGGCCTGCTGATGAGACACAGAAAATGAGAATCGCGCAGGGGAACTCGTCCGCTGGTTTCTGGAAGACGGTCCACAGAGCGACGCAGACAGGGGCACCCTGAGACTTGCTAACCAGACACAGCAGCCTGGGCCTCTCTGGCTATCTTCTAGTGTCACCGTCAAAGGCTTCGTGCCAAATGCAGTCAGAAACTTTCAGCTGAACGGGAAGAGAACAGCTTGTCCTGAGTGACCTCCAACACCACCCAGTTCATTTAGAACTAAGTCAGAACCTGAATGGCACCAGCCAAACCCACTGGCCTGCTTGGGTTTATTAGGGTGGGCCCTGAAGCGTGCGCAGGTGCAGCAGGTCTAAGCAACTGTACCGTGGATGAGATAGGGCGAAACCTGTTACCATTCGGAGCAAACAATGAGGCTGGAGGGGGCCCTACGTTCTCAAAATAGCAGCTTCAGAGGACAAGGAACAGAGAGCCACATGTAAACACACACATAAACGTGCACACACACACACATGTGTACACGCATTCACACCCAAACACATCAGCTTTTATTTTCCTTTGAGAAAATAAGAACCTTCTATGTTTTCCTCTGGAGATGCCATTGAGATACATCTTTGAACTTACTTTGTTTTCAAACATATTTGTATGCACTTGTTTTAAAACTTACTCACCTCTGACTCATAAATTGTTAAGTAAGTAGGCTACTTTATACGGGTCAAGTGCTTAAGAACTAATATAAAACAATCAGGACTAAAAACAAGGACCTGCAGCTGAAGTCCTGCTCTACTGCGTCGTCCTGCTTTATTAGCCACCGTCTGATTTGGGAAGCTGAGGAGGGACACCCAGGACACTTGGACAGACACACGCACACCCCTGTGCACACACACAAGGCTTCTACTCTGTAACAGACTCATACGGTGGGACAAGAAAAGGGAGGGCGTGAGTGTGCCTTTTTCCCCCAATATTCAGATTTTAAATAGATTTTAGGCTTTAGTGCTGCCTGCCTAAGACATGTTTAAATGAAACCACACAGCCACCTCAACGGGCAACAGCTCTGCTCTGCGCTCGCAGGGACGGTTCAGACCTTCCAAGTCACGTCCCGCAGGGATGTGCCCCCACTCAGCTGCCTTCCGGGACGGGCCACGACACATGGCCGGGCACTCGCTTCCCAGACCTCTGCGTTCCAGAACGTATTTAACACAACAAGCACGGCCAAGCCCCTCTGGCGTACGCGAGGGCAACAGTGCAGCCGGGCGCTCACCACACGCTCACACGTAGACACACAGAACATCTGCAGGGCACGGTCCTGAGTGGCATACCTGCTTTGTGCTGAGTTTGCGGCAGCCTGCATCACTGCTGCGGCCGCCTCCTGTGCCTTACGGTTCACAGTGGGCATTGGCGGCCCCATTCCTGGCCCTCCCTGCTGAGACATGCCAGGAGAACTGGGGGTCATGCTGCTCATATTTCCAGGAAATGGTCTGTTCTGCATCCCAGCCGATGGCATTCGTCCCAGGGGCACAGCACCACATGGCTGGCTCGGCCCTTGTCCATGCATCTGGTTGTTGGCATTGATACCCATACCGGGCCCTGGGCCGCTGTAGCTTGCACCGGGCACCCCACTATACGTTGGGGGTCTGGAGTAGTTACCTAAACAAAAAGCAAACAGAAATTAAAGCCTTTTATTTCATTTTTACACTCGTGAAAACATTCAGCGGAAATACTTTTTGCCAATATTGTGAATATCGTGATCCTTATCAGCCTCTTGGTGGGTGCGTTTTCTCTGTGCACTGCACAGGCCCTGCCGGCGAGCCAGGGACAGGGAGCCCCACAGGGGCTCTGCAAGGCTGAGGGGAAAGCCAAGCTAACACAAACAGCAGCCGATCAGTAGACAAGGGATGGTGGTACCGACGGCTGCTTTGAAACCTGCCACACCTCACATTCTTCCATTTTAACCCAACCAAAGTGTGTTCAGGTGAGGACAAGCTGAGATGGCTCTATGACAGCCCTGCTACACCCAACAGTGAAGATGAGGGGCTCAGAGAGACAACAGGGGAGACAGAGGCCACACAGCCCACCCTTCCCAGCCCGCGGGAGACCGACGTGAGGTCAACAAGCTTTCTCTGGAGTTGGGAACAACCTTTTGAAAAATTTGGCTTGAGCACTGGTTCAGTGGCTGGTTTATGCTCAGTGTCAAGCCTGTGAACAAGGCAAGGCACCTGGCAATGGTGGCCGGCAAAGGGGAGGCAGGCAGGGCCGGCGGCGGAGATGAGCAGCCACCGCCACAGCCTCCTGTCCGTGCTCGCCCGGGGCGCACGCTCATGGAGGAGACTGGCAGCAGCAAGGGCTCCAGCTATTTCACTGCTTTGACTTCCCTTCCCTTCCTTTCACACCTTGTACTCCAACTGCATGCGTGTAAATATGGTACCAGTTCAACAACGGCAGCCGATACTAACTGCCACACCTCGGCGTGTGCTACAGACACCTGAGTGCTTGCCTCCGCGAATTCCTTCATTTCTCCAGATAACCATGAAACAGACACCTCCAAGACTCCATTTGCATATGAGAAGCCAGGATCTCATAGATCAGGGTGGCTCTAGTAAAATGAGTCTGGAACCCTTGTAGTTAATGAATCAAACGCGCTGCCTATTTACAGGGCAAGAGAGCAAGAAGCAGCCTGGCCGGGACTGGGAAGCACGGGTCACCCTGGGCGCTCAGGGGTCACTTCTCTGAGAAAGCTCGAGCCCCACCCAGCAGGGCAGGCTCTGGGGCCAGAAGCCCTGGAGCTGCAGGGCTCTCTGCCCAGTTACTGACCCGGAGGGCCCTGGGCGACCTGCTGTCACCTTTCTTTGTTCCAGTTTCTGTAGAACAGACAATCCTCTCTGATGCTGTCCACCTGTTAGGATCCAGTGGTAGGTGTGTCACATATCTCAGTACCAGGTAGGACACGCGGGGTTCCACTATGGGAAGGTGAGTGAGAAAGAGCGGGGAGCAGCACTGGCCGAGGAGCTGCGGGGGCGGAGGTGGGGGCCAGGCCTGGCAGGGCCTGTGTGCCACGGCTCCAGGAAGAGGCTTCTCAAGGGGATCCAGTGGAAACAGGTTTGAATGAGGAACAGCAGCACCAATCGAGTGCCACTTCCTCTGCACTAAGCTCCGCCCCAGGTCCTCAGTACTGACTCACCTCATCCTCACCTGGAGCTTCCAAGTACCCAGGGCCACAACCCTCACTTGGGAGGCGAGAATCTCACTTAGCCCTTGCTCCTCGGGCTCCGGCCTCGGCAGGTGCTGGGTGCAGCTCAGAGTCAGGCTCGCCACACCAGCCTCTGTGGCCTCGTTCACACCAAAGAGAAAGCTTACTGCATAATAGTGTCATTGAGACTGTCAACACGGGCTTCTTAAACTCGCACACGGAAAGCACTTTCACCTACACACTGCAGGAAATTCAGCAGGTTTTCAACATCTCCTGAGCGCGCTGCCGGAGTCCCGGGATCCGACTCCCACAGGAGGCACCTGCTACTGGCAGCAGTGGAGGGGGCTGGATGGCGGCCTGTGGCCCAGCGCACTTTTTGAAGGGCCACAGGAGAGATATTTTGGGCTCTGTGGGCCATGGGCCTGCTCTGCTCTAGCTCTGGGCCTGATGTACAGAGCAAGGGGAGGGCTGGAGTGGGTGCGAGTTTGTGGGCCCCTGGTATGCACCCACCCAGGCGAGCCAGAGGGAGACCCGCTCCAGCTGGCAGCTTCCTTCGCCCTGAAAACCAGCCTTGGGAGCCTTCATGAACTGAGGCAGTGGCAGACCCGAGGGCCTGGGAAACTGAGGCAGACAGGGGAAGAGCCGCAGAGGAGAGCCTAGGAGCCCCGAGGAGGAGCGTGCCGGCCGGTCTCTGCCAGCTCCTTAGATTTCACCACCTCTTCGAGAAGGCACACTGCCTGCGGGTGGTATCTGGCAGGAAGAGTCAACCGCATGTTGCCTTCAAGTAAAGGTAAGAAAACGAGTGAACCAAAAACCCAAGGCATTTGATGCTGCTCATCCGCTCCAAGTCCTCCAGCAAACACCGCACAGCCGCCTTCTGAAGCGCCATCCCACGGGACACCGTCTGTTCTCTGTCACACTTCTCAGCAGCACACCCTGGGCGGGCCAGGCTGTGCCAGGCCCGGCCCACGCTGCGCCAGGCCCGGCCCACGCTCCTCTCTGCTGGCAGCACTGAGACCCCACCTCCCTGACCTCACATCCCCTCACTTCCAGGCGAGCTGAGCGGATCTGTGAAACCCAGGGCTCCTTTCTGGCTCTCGCTCTTACTAAAAACAAACAGACTCATTCATAGTTTGCATGCACAAGCAATTAATTCACATATTCGCGCCATTGCTCTGGGCTGCCTCTCCACCCTCCCCTACACTCGGTGAGTGATTCATGTGGTAAGAAGCCTTTATCCGTGAAAACACATGTGCCCTTCGCTTTCGAAGGAAATGAAATCACACTTTAATCTTGTTTTAGAAAACAAGCATTCAGACCCAGTGACTGTATTAGCAAAAGGGGTTGCCGATCCTGTTGAACTCTGCTTCTAGGGAACCCGACATGCTGTGGGCTGGGTGCTTGCCCCTCGCATTTCACAGGCAGTCAGGGGCTCTATTTTAGTGAACGTGAAGGAGAGAGGATGGAGACGCCTAGTTCCCTGGAGCCTCCTTCAGTCTCTCACTCCGGTTACGCACTAAAGAGAGAGGAGCTGGGCGTGGGCGGGTGGGGGGAGGGGCACTGCTGGAGCCCAGCGGCCATGCACCTGCACTTAGAAAGGCACACAGAGTGCTGGGGTCTCGACCTATTTTCCTCCAATCAGCTGGGTCGATTCTACAGACTGGCACTAAGAGCACACATTAAGGGATCTGTTCTAATTATAAAGACTTCTATTCCAGAGAAGAAACATAACGTTCCCTTTTCTTTTCCTTGAAACTTTAAAGACTTTCCTCATTAAACTCACATGCTTGGATAAAAATGACTTTGAAAGGCTTAAAACGGCTTAAGAGGCAGTGAAGGAGGAAGACATAGGCTTCAGGATCTGGGTCCGCACACTGGTGCTGACACTGGCCAGCATGACCCCGGACAGGTCAGCCAAGCTCTCTCACCTGGAGTGTGGTGGGCAGAACGGGCAGGAGGGAAGGCGCGAGAGCAGTACCAGGTGCAGGGCTGCTCTCGCCATCAGCCATCAGAACAGCACCACTCACAGCACCTTTTCCTGCCACCTTTTTTTTTTTTTTTTTTTTTTTTTTTGACAGGCAGAGTGGACAGCGAGAGAGAGAGACAGAGAGAAAGGTCTTCCTTTTTCCGCTGGTTCACCCCTCAATGGCCGCTGCGGCTGGCGCACCGCGATGATCCGAAGCCAGGAGCCAGGTACTTCTCCTGGTCTCCCATGGGGTGCAGGGCCCAAGCGCTTGGGCCATCCTTCACTGCCTTCCCGGGCCACAGCAGAGAGCTGGCCTGGAAGAGGAGCAACTGGGATAGAATCCGGCGCCCCGACTGGGACTAGAACCCAGGGTGCCGGCGCCGCATGCGGAGGATTAGCCTATGGAGCCATGGCGCTGGCTTTCCTGCCACCTTTTTAAAAAGGGGGGAAGGGGACCGGCGCTGTGGTGTAGCAGGTAAAGCTGCAGCCTGCAGTGCCGGCATCCCATATGGGTTTCAGTTCTAGTCCTGGCTGCTCCACCTCTGATCCCACTCTCTGCTATGGCCTGGGAAAGCAGTAGAAGATGTCCCAAGTCCTTGGGCCACTGCACCCACGCGGGAGACCTAGAAGAAGCTCCTGGCTCCTGGCTTCAGATTGGCACAGCTCCGGCTGTTGCAGCTATCTGCGGAGTGAACCAGCGGATGGAGGACTCGCTTGCTCGCTCGCTCTCTGTCTGTCTCCACCTCTCTGTAACTCTTTCAAATAAATAAATAAATAAATAAATCTATCTATCAATCTATCTTTGGGGACAAAAATGTGTGCATGGGGCAAAAAAGGATTCACTTGCTCCACCACCCCCTTGCCCATAGCACAGCTTTCTCCCCCAAATAAACAAAGACCAAATAGATAAGCCAAGCAAAATAGGAGAGGAAAAGCCAGGAATGAGAAGTGCAGTCTTATTTCCATGTTTCTCTAATAGATTAGTAATTTGTTGGCACTGGCTCTGACAGAAAACAGATGGACGCCGCATTGAGCACAATGCAGGCAGCAGATGCCTGGCCAGCCCACCTCAGCTGGACGGCGCTCACAGCCAAGGCCGGGAGTCCCAGTTTTCAAGAGGACTCGTCCTGGCTCTCCAGCTCCGGGAAACTGGTCACCAAATGAACTCAGATTTCAACTCCCCACGAGCTGGACCCTCGCACCCCAGAGAGGGGGCAGGATCTCAGGAGGATCATAAGGAATTCTGTACCTGACTCCGGAATACTGAAATCTGCTCATCATAACCAATCAGAACTTCAAGTTTATTGTTCTACTAAGCCAGTAAATGCTTCCACTCATAGGAAATTCCGCTTCTCAGTCTCCATCACTCAACAATGCTATGCTAAGGAACGACTCGACACGCAAGGTGCACACTGTTCTCTATACAGAGCACCAACCAGACATTTTACCCTGGGTAGAAGACATGAGATGTATAACTGGCTACATACTACGATA